GTATGAGGAAAGTACAAAAAGAATAATATGTGAATCCATTTTAGAATTTGTAAAGAAGTTTGCTCTTCTTTCTTTGTCAAACAATCATTAACATTTATGCAATATTATCCATGCTGGGATCACTTGGTGTCAAGTTTTTTTTAAGCCAAATGCAATGCATTTGCATTGTAGCCATTGATTATCTCGGCAAGGCTGTGATTTCATCAATTGATCATATTATTGTTCATTCATATGAGATCTCAGTGTCAACAAAATGGTTTTCTTCCTCCCAAGTGGAGAATAATTCTGTGAATCTCTAGACAGTGACACTACATTATCTCTTCAGAGCTTTGATGAATGTTCCTAGTTAAGGAAATCCAGCAGAGCTTCAAAGTTTTCAGAAATTGAACCACAAAAGTTAGTTGTACTAAACTCAGGTGAAAGGATGTTGTTGGTATAGTTGTCGTTGTTTTCCATAAAGTTGTTTTTGACTTATGGCAACCTTGAAGCAAACCTATCATGAGTTTGTCCAAGGTCACCCAGTTGGGTTTCCATGACTGAAGCCCCATCTACACTTATATAATGCAGTTTCAAATGGTCAATATAGACTCATATAATACAGTTCAAAGTGGTTAAACTGCATTATAGGACTCTACTCTGACCATATAGTGCAGAAGTTCCCTAGATTGGTGATCTAGGGAACTTCTGCACAGGCCAAAATGTAGCATGAACTGGCATTAAACATTTTGCAGCCACACACGGTGGTACCTCCCATTTCTCCTCTCTGAAATTAAGAAAAAACCTTCTTACCTTCCCTGGAGACTGTTACTTCTAGCTCTGCATCACTAAGATGCATCAGGAGCCTTACAGGGTGGGGGCATTCTGCTCTAAGGTCCTGTCACATCTTGCTAATTGGGGAGCGAGGTGGTCAGGAGGCAGGGAGTGGAAGGAGACACTGCCATCTCACCTCCCCAGAGAAAAATGATAGTGATGTTAGAATCACAGACTTCCACTCTGTCTGAGATATTGTCAGTTTGGACCTCATCATATTGAGGTCTACATGGCAGGTGGGCAGTGGGGGAAGCTGTCACCCTGCATCACCTGCATCACCCCTTACCCATCCCACTGGGGGAAGCATCACCACCCGGCTTCCCCCTGCATTCTGTTCAATGAGCACTTGGGAGACCTTTACAGCATTCTAGCATGCTTGTAGGATGATGGCAGCATGGAGCCCTGCTGGAAGTATATCTATCTTGTCTGATGGGCTCTGTCAGGCTCTGTGCTTCCAGGGACCTGCAAGCATCCCAGGATACTGAAAAACTGTCAATGTGATGATGTCCTTAAAATGATTTTGAGAGATTTCAATGCAGACAAAGGCCACTAGCTCTATATTTATCTTGAAGGGAATAAGAATAAAGAACAATAAAATACAGATTACATTTCAGAACCCATTGACAACAGGAAAGTAACTTCTCTTGAGGTCCTGTTGTCTTTATCCTATGCAAAATGGCAAAGAACACTGAATTGTATTGTTACTTGGAGCCAGGCCCGTAGCCAGGATTTTGATTTGGGGGGAGCTGAGTTTGATTTGGGGGGGGGGGGGCTGAGTCTGAGTGAAAGAGGGTCTACCCTAGCAAACCTTTTGTATCATTACCCCAGTACCCCCATACATATGGGATATATTGAGCATGGTGATCAGATCATGATATGAATAAACATAACTTTTTAAATAATGTACCAGTAAGGCCTTCTCACGGACCACCATGAGAATTTCGGGGAGGCTGAAGCCCCTCAAGCCCCCCCCCCCCCCCGGCCGGCTACATGCCTGCTTGGAGCGGTGGCTTTTAGGTACTGGATAGGTAAAAGAAAACAAATTATAGTCCAATGAAATAATTTTTGCAGATGTAAAACTTCAGTGACATAATCCATAGTTTTATGGGTAGGGTGAACAGTACAAAGGAAGATAGTAGATGAAGGTCTACAGCAGGGGTCCTCAAACTTTTTAAACAGAGGGCCAGGTCACAGTTCCTCAAACTGCTGTAGGGCCGGATTATAATTGGGAAAAAATGAATGCACACTGTACAAATCTTATTTGTAGTGCGTAAAAAACCCCACTTAAGAACAATACTATAATTAAAATGAAGAACAATTTTAACAAATATAAGCTTATTAGTATTTCAATGGGAAATGTGGGCCTGCTTTTGGCTGATGAGATAGGATTGTTGTTGTTGTTGTTGTGTGCTTTCAAGTCGTTTCAGACTTAGGTTGACCCGGGGGCCGGATAAATTACCTTGGAGAGCCGTATTCGGCCCTTGGACCTTAGTTTGAGGATTCCTGGTCTACAGAGTTTTGGGGTTAAGTGAACCATCAAATGGGCACTGAGAGTGAGGACTTTGCCCCCCTGCTTTTTTGATTTCTGCACAAAGAACTGCCTGCTAACTAGACAAGGAAACTGAGATGGAAGTTCTAAGAAGTAGTTGATTTAAAATGCAGTGCCTGTTAATTAGGCAAGAGGTGAGAAATGAGACAGGAATTCTAAGAACTAGCTGATCTAAAACGTGGTGAACTCTGGTAATTTAGAATGGTTCAATGACAATGGTTCACCTAGCTATGAATTTCACACTTCATAAACCTTGATGATGTAACTCTGGCTTTAGTCTGCCAAATGTACACAAGAGTCAAGTGTACTTCCCATTTCTGGGCATGCTTTTTCACACCAAAAATATCCATTACCAAAGTATCTGTTTTCATTCCTTTTTTAAAAAAAAAACTCTGGCTCTTATCAGAATATGCATCTGTCACAGATCCTTCATTATGCAGTGCACTAGAGTATAATTTAGGCTGTGTTTCCCAGATAATAGAAACGGATATATGCAAGATTGCCTTAACTATTTACATAATGGATTGAATCAGGTTTAAAACCACAATTTGAAAAGGTTTGGCTCAATTTACTGCTTTCAAACCCATCTCCTTTTCTGCAATGTATGATGGTACCATCCCATTTTTTCCTCCTTGGCAGGTCTGTAACGAGGGGGTGGTTTTAGGGGTTCAACCCCCCCCTGAAATGTTTCAGATTTTTTTTAAAAAAACCTGGTTTACTCATGAATTTTAACTGGTTAACCAAATCCCCATGCTAAGTCTATGAGATGCAAAAAATTAAGAGTCCCTCCAGAACTGTAAGCACTATCTCAAGCACATATTGACAATTTATTCACACTGTCATTACTTGCAGCAATAGCCGATGTAGTGAAGCAACCAAGTTGGAGGTGTGTTGAATGCTCTCATTAAGGAGGCCAGACTTGGTGGAGGTGGTTGACAGGGGCGGAGCTGCGGGCTATTGAAGGTTGCTCTGCCCCCTGCTGTGCTCTTTGCTTCAGCGTGAGCTAGGAGGCAGGTTTCAACCCCCCCCCCCCTCCCGCCGAAATTGTCAACCCTCCCCGAAATTTTTTTCTGGCTACGGCCCTGCTTCTTGGTACCAGTATCTCATTCTATGACTATGCTGTTGCAGATACTCATTTGAAGGAAGCAAAGGTAGGGACTGTGGTTATTATGAACACAATATGTTTTCAAATAGGTTTCTTTGTATGTAAAAGATCTCATGGCAAAAGAGAAATCATAGATTTGATTATCGTACAATTAGATTATAATGCAGTGTACTTGAGAACGAACATCATAGTTTGAAAGGTGAAATGTATGACATCTTTGAAGAATAAATGCAACTTTTTGAAAGAACTAACCTCCCCCCTCCTCTGTTCCTGGATTTTGCTATGTTTACTGGTTTCTGTTGGACTTTCATCATGTTCTCTTCTCCCTATGTAGGGAAGCAAGAGCTCTGGTAACCTGGAGCTAAACCATTTCCACATAGGAAATGACTGTAGGTTGGAAGGAGAGCACATGTTTTCTATGCAGGTCCCAGGTGGGACAAAGTTCTATCTAAAGCCCTGGAAAGCTAGTACCTGTCTTTCTAGATAATGCTGAACGAGATGAGTCTGATTTGATTCAAAGTGACTTCCTCTCATTCCTGGACCAATGGTTGCCCGAGTGTACTCAGCTAATGAAATTATGTTGCAAGGGTTTTCAGAGGCAAGAAGAGTAAGCACTTGATAAAAAGTTTATATACCAGATGTGTACTGGGCATAAGCTTTTTATTATGCCTCAGGAACTGATAGTTTTGCAGTTCAGAATTATTGGCATCAAATGTGAACTTAATAGAGAAAAGAATACTTGTAAGGTCCATGGACCTCCACTATCAGCACAGACATCCTAAACACACTCCATGCCCCCAGTCATTTTTTGTTTGCATTTCCATGAGACTCCTCTCAACATTCAAGGGGCTTGAGAGACAATTTCCTCAAACTATTTAGGACCCAAGGGCCCACCACCACCACCAAAAAGAAAAAAAATATCCTAGAAGTGACTTCCCATTGTGAACGGATATTGTCAATCTCTCTTTGAGAGAGAGGGAGGATATAAATTCAAGAAAGAAAGAAAGAAATGGGGGCTTAATGTCCCTCCCCACATTGCCCCCCCCCCCCGCATTGAAAAATTCATTGACTTTAGAGGGGACAAGAGATGATCTTCATGGGGAGGAGGAAGAGAAGAAAAAGGAGGAGATAGGAGGCAGTCTGGTTTCTCAAAGTTTGCCATGATGTCTATGTGAAACACAAACAATTTGCCCACTCCTGTAATCGAACCTGTTTGTTGAAGTAACTAGTATAATTTTTGAAGAAATGTTGCCTAATACCTGTTTTTAAGATGCCTAGGAACCTTATCACATGAAGCCCCTGATTCACCACGGATTGTGGCAAATCTGGCGGGGCCCAGTAGCAGGCATAGGGAACCTGTCACTCCACATCCCTCATCATCCACTTTCCCCCTCACATCAACTCATGGGGGAAAGTGTCACCGCCCAGCTTACCTCCATTGTTTCCAGTGCAAAAAGTATGAAGAATTAGCGCTCTTGTTCTTTTATTACATTTGGCATTAATCACAGATATACATAGAGGTGTTTCTTGTTTCAGGCTCACCCTTGGTTTCATGATCAGCTCTGCCTTCTTGTCTATGTGGCTTAGCAACACCTCCTGTGCTGCCATGGTGATGCCAGTCGTTGAGGCCGTGGCTCAGCAAATCATCAGTGCTAAAGCAGAAGCTGATGCTCTAGAAATGACTTATGCAAATGGAGTCACCAATCATGCATTGGAACTTGATGGTATGAACAGAAAGCAAACTTTTCCCAGTCTTCATTTATGCTTTAGCTGGCGCAAAGACCAGCTAAAGTGAAGCCATTGTTTCGAGATCTTCTCTTTGCTAATCTCAATCGGTGTCTTTTTTCTTTTGCAGAAAATATTAATGATTGTGAAGAAGCTGATGGGAAGGAGAAGACAAAGCAAGCTAATGGGTAAAATGTATAGATTTGATTTTTGGCATCATTATCAGTGTGCTCTAGTTCAGCGGATTAGTGACAGCAATTTTCTTTTCCCCTCCAGATACAGCAATGGTTCTGTTCATACTGCTCATGCTGTGTGCCACGTTGAAAAAGAAATGGTATTTAAAAAATCATTCTCAGCACATATTTTCAGAAAGCACTGTCTCTTAGTTAATAATATAGAGCATAAGCTTGCAGTCTCTTACATGGGAGTAGACCCCACTGAACTTGCTAGGGCTTAATTCTGGGAAGACATGTATAGGACTGCCACCATATTTTGCATCCAAGTTCTTTAGTTAAGAGGGCGAGACTTCTGGATAGAGTTTTCACCATAAGATATGCTATCTAAATCAGCTTTAGAAGTTGGCAGACACCCTATCTTGGGGAAACAATCAATAGCATACACAGAGATCACTGACTATCATGTCAACTTGACCCAAGGTCTTTTTATTCTTTATAATTATAGCACTATGATTCCATTTTAATGGCCTGCAGAATCCTGGGACTTGCAGTTCGAATTCTGAGCTAGTGATTCCTGGTGTCTCATCAGGCTACAAATTCCAGGACTTCATAATATTCAGCTATGCTATAAATATGCAGTGTGAAAGGCCCCCTGGATTGACACATTTCTTGACCTTGGTAATGCCAATTTAAGTAGACATATTGAATCAATCAAAACATAAGTAAATCTCATAGATCCAATAGGCTTATTATAAATTGAACTACCAATATGATTCCCGTCACAAGAACTAGAAAGGCCCTTTGATGTTTCTGATTCATGGTAGAAGAGAGAGGAACTTAGAAGTTGGAAGTCATTGTAGGGATCTTTCAGATTTGTTGCCTCGATTTCATATGATTTTAACTGCAGAATTGTAGAAGGGATAAATATGAGATACTGGATTGTAGCAACTGATTATCTTCATGCTTTTAGAAAAAGTTTGAGCCCTCCATGCAGTCATAATGGCGCTCCATGTAGTCATGCTGGCCACATGAACTTGGAGGTGTCTGCAGACATCACCGGCTCTTTGGCTTAGAAATGGAGATGAGCACCAGTCCCCAAAGTCGAACACAACTGGACTTAATGTCAGAGGAAAACCTTTACCTTTAGAAAAAGTTAACATGAAAAAGAATCATTCATATACTTCTTTCAGAATGTAACAACAGAAAGTAAATCAGCAAAGTGGTTTGGTAGTCACACAAGTCCATGTACAAAAAAGCAAGTGCAATTTTAGCAATTTAATATTATTTTAACTGACTTAGCTCCATCTTATGGAATCCAAAGATTTGTAGTTTTATGAGATACATAGATACTTACCTGTCTATAGCACTTACCTGCCCTGTTGCAATAGTGTCTTTTGGCAGAGAAGTCTAAGTGCCTCAACAAACTACAATTTCAAGAACTGCAGAAGATGGGTTCTTGGTAGCTAAAGTGGTCCCAGTGCTATAATTTTGCTATATACTGGATATACTGCTGTCTGGCAGTCCATAACACTAACAAAAATGTCACAAAATGTCACTCACATCTGAGTTTTCTAAATCCAATTTTGGAGGGAAAACCCTATTCCTATTGGTTCATTAGAAAAAAAACCTATCGCATGGCAAAACCTTTCTTGTGTGTCTTTGGTTAAGGCCCTTCTTTTCTGCAATTTTCTTTGGACAATGTAAAGTATCAGAAAGTACTGAGCAAACTTTGGAACATACTGTATGGGATTTTGTGACTTTTTTTAAAAAAGCTCTGCCTTTTGACCTTCTGTTTTCCAACTGTTAATCCTTCTCACTAATTGTTTTGGCACAATACTGGCATCCAATCAAGAATTTCTGCAGCTGCTTTCTTCCTTGTCTTACTCCTTGAACTCAGTTCAACTCTGTCTCAGGTTTGAATATGGAATTGCTAGCTAGTCTCATAACAAGACTCGCTATTCCACATTTAACCCTGATTTTGCTTTATAATGATGACTCATGAATCGCTATCTTGATCAGCTCCATTAACCCCTGGCTCCAAGCCATTCCTGTGCAATGGAAGAACGACATATGAATTGTGGAGCATAAGATTATACACTGCCAATTATAGATGCTCTCCAAAAATGAAAGCTGAATGAGCCCAGCTGAAAAAGCGAATAGAATCTCAGAAATCCAACATTTGATTTACACGACCACAATATATTTTTTCATTAAGGGTACATACTTAACCACACTATTGTGGTTATAGACCTAACGAGAGAATCATGAAATAGAAGTTCTACCTTTCCTTTTTCCTTCAGGCTCAAATGCTCTGCTGTCTTGAAAGCTCTGCTTGAACAAAAAATGAGGGTATCATCTAACTGACAAATGGTAGAGACATGTGAATCTGTCATTTGAAATTCATGTCAAGAAGTCTAGCGTAGATATGGGCCTCTTCAGGTCACACCTTGTGAAAAATCAAAGCTGGGCTACTATTAGCTTAACTATAATGCTCAATCCCACCCAAACTGGTAGATGTTGAAGATGTCTGCCTTGCCCTGAAATGTCATTTGGTCTCATTTTCCACATAACTGCCCAAGGAATTTCCTTACAGCTGTTTCCCCCACCCTCAAAAAGTAAGATGTTGCTATTAGTTATTTACTTGTAGAGAATTACTTCCAAACTCTGGAAAGAGTGGAGAGTTAAAAGAATATGAATAGTGAGTGAGGGGTACTTTTGTTTTTTGCCATGTAATATCTTCTTGAAAAAATATGGAATCAACCATTACTTTGAGTCCTTGTGAGCAGCAGAGACATTTCCTATATGCTGTTTACAACAGCATCCTACGTTCCCTGGGCTCAGACAGCTTTCCCCAGTCATTTTGGCCTTTGTGACACCCACTAGGCACAAAGATGGCACTGGTCAGCAGTCAGCACCAGTAGTGACAATATCCAAAACAACAATGTGAGAAGGGATAGGAAAAGCACAGCATGATGCCTCCTTTTCTCCCTTCTATTTTTCATGTCACAGAAAGATCAAACAATAAAAAGATGAACAATGTTGGGATGGAAATGGGTTCCCTCCTCCATTCTAAATTTTGGACAATTGTCAGGAAAAGATTGAGTATTTTATGAGAATTTTCAAAAATCAATTGTGTTCCCAATGGTGATGGGCACGTTTTGCTTATAAATAGTTTAACATGAAAACATTTTGAGTTTTTTTTCTGTCCAATTTCCCATTTACACAGAAGCCAGAAGCCAGTGAAAAAGAAGGAAAATACCAAAACCAAAGGGACCACAATATATGTAAAATCATGTGTCTGTGTATTGCCTATTCATCTACCATTGGAGGACTGACAACCATCACTGGAACTTCAACCAACTTAATATTTGCAGAGCAATTCAATACGTAAGTAAAGACACTATATTTGTTCTTCTATTTTGTAAAGCTGAATATTATTTCCAATTCATTTGTTTTACATTATTCTAGTTTTAGTAGAGCCAGCCTGGTGTAGTGGTTTGAGACCAAGTTTTGAAATTCCATTCAGCGGAAACCTTGGGCCAGTCACTCTTTCTCAGCCTAAGAGGAAGGCAATAACAAGCTTCCATTGAATAAATATTACCAAGTAAACCTTCTGATAGGGTCGTCATAAATTGGACTCAGTCTGGAGGCATGTGACAAGAACAACCAAATAAACCCCCCATGATTTTGCTACCATCCCACATAACAAAGTCACACTTTTGTAGAGTGAAGAAACTCAAAATGGAAACTTCACTGGCATCCTACTTCTAGATCTGATGAAAAGGTTAAGCTCTGTATGCAAACATGGACATTTTATATGCTCCTTTTAATAGCCTTATTTGGCTATTTGGTTGTGCTTCCTGTCTATGTTTAGACGGTTTTGTAGGAAATTTGCTCTTTTTATTCCAAAGTCATATAAGTCTTCCACAGATCAACTTGTCATCTGAGAAATATGATGACAAATTAGTGCCATGTTGGCTATCCCCTCTAATTAACAATCATTCCAACCCACTTATTTGGTCCTTATAAAGTACACAATACCAATTCATTTTGCTTTTGCCCATGACAACAATTTCTTGTATTGTTACAATGGACAGGATCCAGGGATAGCTGGTAGCTTCTGTGTCACTGGGTGGTGCATCCGCTTAAATTCTAATCTGAATTTTAAAGCAGTGACACTCAAGACTATCTGGTGTAGGGATCTGTATTTTTTTTCTTAGTGTGCTACAAACTGCAACCATATTGTGCCTATTTGTTCCTCTCTTTCCTTGAAATTTGCCAGAGGTAAACTCCAGAGCAGTTCCAGTCAAAGGACCATAACTTAGAGTAGAACGGTTTAAAAGGATCTATCCAAGATTGCAACCTCAATCTTCTATTATAGGGTTCAGAACTTTTGAGAGATTCTTCAAAATGTCTACTAGAACCATCAAGAGTTGATTCCCAAAGGAATAATTTAAGCACATGAAAACCCTCTGTTTAAGATTATGATCAAACTCTGCATCACACTGATGGATTATAAAATTCTGCCAAATGTGGTTATGGCTCTGTCTCACATTCATCTTGCCTGCCTGTCATTTGGGTATACTTCCATGGCTGTTCAGTGGCACAGCCACCTATAGGAAGATGATACCTGCAGCCACCCATATGGAGTTATCCTCACTGGTTTTTGGAGGCTCAGGGGAATGCTTTTTTCTTCCTTCAGGTGGTTGAATAGATGAGGCTGGCTACTTGGCTGCCTTTTGTCTCCCCTTGGTCACAAAGTGGCCACATGGAGGAGATTTCAGCCTCAAAATACATAAATAGCTTGGGCAGGGAATTATTATTAAGAACGATGCTGGATTTATTTCTCCATCATGAACAGAAAAGTAACACATTACATTACATACATATGCAATTTAAGAGGATGCCAACGGATTATGAGATTAAAAATCGAATGCTGCCAATGAAGCTTATAATTGTAATTACAGGTTATCCAAAGTTCTGACCTATCCAAGTTTCTGCCCTTTTGGTGGGATGGAGCTGGACCCTTTGAATAGCTTGTTTAAAATTCAGACTAAAATTCAAACACAGAGTATTATAACCTTTTGAAATCAATGCTCCTTATAAGATTTTAATTAATTACAACCAGTCTTAGTATTCCCAATGTACAACCAGGAATTTGAAGGCAAGGGGAATAGATTTAAAATGAGAACTCACAAGATTCAAATCCAGCTGTTTATCTACTGGACCTCAATGAACTCATGCTACAAGAATGATATTCATAGAGACACAATAGTTGGAACACATTATCCTGATCAGAATGACAGTATAACAAACATATAATTAAAGCTAGAACCATGATTATGTAAATTAGCCGACATTTTCTTCCATTTAGCAATTCAATTGCATCCCCGGGGCTGTTTTAGGAACATATAATAAATGATAGTGACACAGTTTGGCCCCAAGAAACTTTAACCACTGCAGAAGATATATGGGGCTTCATTTCATGATATATTTTGGGGTAAACTGCAATTTTTACATTTGATGGTAATTGATGACAATCACAGCATCAATAAGCATCGTGTCAGTATTATTCTGCACCCCAATTATTTCTAATCCAGTAAAATGATTTCTCGTTACCAGGGATATTGTCTGTCTGCCACCTGGAATTTGATAAAAGTAGCCTCATGACAAACTGAATTTTACACACAAAAATATATTATGGTTGCTTTAAAACAATGAAATGAAAGCATGCACATAATCAAATCAGCAAGGATATCTTAAAGTTTTCAAACTTCATTATAAGTAAGCATAGCACAGAATATCTACTAGGCTTGTACACAGATTTGTTTTGGCCAGTTCCCTTCAGCTAATCTGACTTGTTTGGGTGGCTGTAATGGTAAGGGCTCAGCCTCCATGGTTTTTTTTTTGGTTTTTTTTTTTTTGCCCCAACAGAACAGTAGTTGTCAAATACCAGCTGTTTTCGGTTACACGTGGGATCCGGGAGGGAGGCAACCCTTGAAGAAAAAGGGAGGGCTTTTTAAAGGAAGCCCAGGCTAGGATAGCTCCAGGTCATCACTCTTCCCTACCTAGAAGTGGCAATCCTCCTTAAAATGCCTTGAAAAGAGTGCAAGGCATGGTGCAGGCCCAGGAGAGAAAACACACACCTGCCTGTAGTGCCTCTCCTCTAGAGTAGAAACAGCTTTAAGAATCTTCCTTAAAATGCCTTGAAAAGAGTGTTTGGCATGGCGCAGGCCTGGGAGAGAAAGCATGTGCGCCTGCCTGCAGCGCTTCTCTTCTGGAGTAGAAACAGCATTATGAAGCCTACTTAAAATGCCTTGGAAAGAGTGCATGGTGTGGTGCAGGCCTGGTAGAGAAATGCTTTTATTCTAGATCTTAATAAGCAATTCACTGTGCAGTCATAAGAGCCACTAGGTTCAGGAGGAAATTAATTTAGTAAGGTAGAAAGCAATAGATAAAATAATTAATAACAAGAAAAAAATGTTATTATCCCGCCTCTTCTCACGGTTCAAGGCAGGATACAACACAGTTTAAACATCCAAACAAAACATGCTGAAGATCTTGTTCTAGACAGATAGATACAATCAAGGAAGCCACAATTCCAAGTCTACAAAGCCTTAGAAGAATAATTGAGGATTGGATGATTTGGAGGTCTCTCATTCATGAGGTCACCCTAAGTCCTAGTCAACTCAATGGCAGTTTACAACAAAAATCTATTTGCTAGTTTGAGTGAAAGTTAACTAAGGACCTCATCATATTGAACTTTTTCAGCATTCTAAGACACTTCTAGGATGCTGGGAGGACTGAGTCTGCTGCAGCCCATCATATGATGCAGAGCTACTTCTGGAGGGGCTCTGTCCTCTCAGTGTCCTAGGATAGTGCCCTGAGAACACAGGAGGCTTCCCATGTTCTCATAGGACAAGCCTGGGAAAGCACAGAGGGAAGCTGGGTGGTTATGTTTCCCCCTGTAGGATGGGGAAGGAGGCAACATGGGGCATGGCACAATGGGTTCCTCTGCTAATCGCTGGATTTGCCCGGTTGGCCGATGGATGCCTTCACTGTTCCCCAACTTGGGGACTTCAATGTGATGAGGTCCAAAGTAGTAATCTGAGATCGTCACATCTGTTTTTGACAGTGCATTTGAAGCTTTTGAAAAAAAAATACCATCAGGTGAAACTGTCAAATATGCAGGACCAAATTAATATGAATAAATTAGCCAAAGAACTCAGGTTTTCATGAAACCAAGACCAAAAGAAAAAAGTCTGAAGAAATTAAAAGTAATTGGGAGTAGACTTATTTCTTTCACATACCACAACTCAGATCGCAAAGGTTGCATTATGAGACCAAGTGCATCACAATATGTTATTGGAATATCAGTCTAACATATAGTAAGCAATGAGTGCATTATTTGTAGTAAAATCTATACAGAATGTTGTTGAAACATCAACATACAGTAAACAGGTGGTTGCATCCACGGCTGAACTACCTCATTTCCTTCTATATGGGACATGTACATTCTTGGAGTTCAAATCAAATCATTTATTTCGGTCATTGACCAGCACAGGAAATAGTCACATTTTCATACAAACTTGGTATGTTTGGTACATTAAAAATATAAATATAACTACTGAAGCACAATATGGGTGAGGGAGCAGAAGGGAAGGGGAAACAGGGTAAAAACATACAATGCCCAGATCCATCACCAGATTGTAGATTCAGAGAAGAAGATTACTGGACACACGGTTAACTTTTGGGACTAGTCATTCCCTGACGGATTTTGTATGCTGCTGCACAGAAATTTGCAACATTGTAGGTTGTAGCTGAATTAATATCTGCAAGTAGCATGGAGGTATAAAATTGTCCTGAATGGCCTGGGTGCTTGTATAACAGAGGTAAGATAAGCCTGCCACGGATATCCCTGTAGAACGGGCACTGGAGGAGCACATGTTCTATTGTTTCTACATGACCCGAGTCACAGGGGCAGAGTCTCTCTGGGAAAGGGATCTTCTCCATTCTTGGAGTTGAAACCAGCCATGGAGGATAGATTTCAGATTCTAATAAACAGCTTGAGGGGGAAAAGGTCCCCAAAAACAAAAGAAATGTGGAAAATGTAGGTGGTACAATGAACTAGAGTCAGAAGAGACAACATACAACTATCATGTAAAAAACAACAACAATGAATTGAGAAACAACTCATCAAAAGAGAAATGATAATGCCTTGGATTAAAACACATGCAGACACAAACACATACTATAAAAAATAGTCACAAACAACATCAGAGCTTGTATCTCACCGTGCTGTAATTGCTTCCTTGTATTCCATTTGACTGTGATTTATTTTTGCTCTTCTTGATAGTTTTCTGGGTTCTTTTTAAAAATGTAGTGAT